AAATAAACTATTAAAATGATATTTTATTATGCAAGATATAATGAATATAATTTATTTTAATATCCTGTTTTATCATCATTTGTTTAAATTTAAAGAATTCAGAAGCATGTTACCTTGTTCATAAATAAGTTATAATCACTTCTGTAGGCCATAATGATACCAAAATTTAAAATAATATCTGCCCAACAAAATCTTTAGTTGCTTCTATACTTGAACTTCCCTTCCAACAAACAATCACAGAAATGTTTTATACGAAGGTGATTCAAAAAGTAAGGTAACGAGCTCTCACAGGTGTCATATTCCTCCTCTTGTTTGAATTTCCCATTAGGGCAGCAGAAGAAGACCACAGCTTTATCACACAGGTGTTAGATGATACAAATGTTGCATCAGACTCTTGTAATATCATTTTGAAAATGGCTGTGCTCATGGAAGCATGGTCAAACCTGGAAGCGCACAGTGTGATTCGGTCTGAAGGGGCAACTCACCAGTAGAAATTCATCATCAACTTGAAGTGTACAGTGGTAATGTTCACAAAAACAGGTGTGGGTTTGGTGCACTGAGTTCAATAAAGGCAGGACAGATGTGAAAACTGAGCAAACTGAATTGTTACAGCACTTCAAGTGGGAGGTACTGGAACATCCTCCTCATAGCCCCAACCTGGCACCCTGTGATTTCCATATCTTCGAACCATTGAAGAAGCATCTGGATGGTAGGCGATTCCAAACTGATATGGAAGTTCAGAAAGCTGTCATGGTGAAGGGATTTGATGCAGATTTCTTCTCTGCTGGCATCGATGCCATGGTATATTGTTGGAATAAATGTTTGGACAAGCATGGTGACTATGTTGAAAAATAATATGTACAAGTGAGATAATAATCCATCACTATATCTGCCTGTGAAATAAAACTTGTACAGGACAGCTCTTGTTACATTACTTTTTGAGTTACCCTTGTACTATATGTAAAATAATGACAGTTTATTTATAATGGAATAATTTCAATGTAAATTTAGTCTATAAAATAATCATTATGTGAATTTATAAAATTTATAAATTAGAAAAGAGTTAAGAATAATTAGAGCATAGATATAACATTTACCATATGCAAAAATTAAAATTTATTTGAAAAGAAAAAAATTTCCTTTGTCATGTCACTAAATTATTGAGCTCAAGTTAGATCAATAACTAAAACCTTGCTCATCTGCAGTTTTAATTCCTATGTATCTAATTTTTATCCTTACAATCAAAATGTGTTTAGTCTGAGATATAACTACAGAGAAAAAAAAAACAAGGAGGTTTAAAGTTTATGCATACACATATACAGAATATTTTAAATATATTATGTATGTTGAGACATCAGAAATAAAACCCAAATCTACTAGGGAGAACTACTAGACAGATCTATATCAATATTTTTACAGATAATACTTAATTAACATTATGATGACAAATATATTCTTTAATTTTATACACTTTTACACATAATTATACAGGAGTATACCTTTTTTTTTTTACTTGAATTTTAAACATATGCTACTGATGTTTATATGAAGGAACTAGTAATATAATATACAGTACTGGTAATATACTTTGATTACATTTGAATGAAAATTGTTGTCATCTTTCTCCCATAAATTGCTGGTGATGAATAAGCAAACAGATTTCTGAATCCTGGTACATTGGAATAATATCTGTGATACAAGTTTTTAATCCATATTTTGGACATTGTCAATGTTTTTCATTATAAAAAGTTCAGTAGTAGTAAAAATATTTTAATCAATTCTTTAGTATTCATTATTGAACTTTTCTATTTGTTAAATAGATTAATTTATGTACTTGGATATAATAATCAATAAAGAATTATCTGTTTTAATTTCCAGAAAATTTGTAAAAAATTTTTTTTTTTTGTAGAGAAATATAAAATTTATAAATTAATCATGCTACACTAAATACCAAGTTTAGATTATAATGAGTAACACAACTTTTATGTTCCAGCATGTAACGAAGGTTGTATTATGTTACAAACTAACTTAAAGTATAGTTGAAAATGTTACATTAGTGTGTCGAGTAACATTCCATCTGCATAAAAAATAAATATCAAATAACGTCATACAAGAGGAAAAAACTGTAGTATTATAAAATATATGTAGATCCATACAATGCATTGTGGTAAAATATGATGAAAATAATCTTAAAAATACTAGATCTATAAATTCCCACTGTTGTCCGTCGGTCTTTTGTTAATCTCAAGAACGAAGTTAGTTAGGTGAAAGATGAGACCACATATGGAAACCTTAGGGGCAGGAGGTCCCAATTAACTATATATGAATTTCCAATGCAAAGCAGAAGTTTGTATCAAGAAATTTCTGTTTAAGTTATCAGAAATTTCTTGTTCAGTATTAAAATTTTCTGTATCATCTGCATCTATATCATTTTCATTAACATTGCTTTCATTTTCAGATTCAATAATCAAATTTTTATCGTCTGACTCAAGTAACATCTGTTATAATTCTCCAATGAATAGCTGGAGCAGAAATAATAAAAATTATATAAATTATTATTGTGAAATAAAATAAAAGCTTAAAAATAATATATTAAAGAAATTTTAGCAAAAAAACTTTTTAATATTAAGTTTAGAAAAGTCAAAATTCAGAAAAATTTGTTTAAAGTTGTAAAAAAAAAAAAACAATAAATAATCTGTCAATAAATTGTTTTCTAGTTTTCATTTTATTTGATCTGTGGTTACTTTTCTTTAAATATTTGTAAGAATTCAAATTTTAAATAAAACAACAGTGAGAACAGTAAGTCTTCCAATATACTGTCATGTGATTTATTTCTCAACTTCCTAATTAGATTATTTCTAACTATTCTTATATGGTTTCTTGTAATACATACTTCAAAATTCTAAGTATATAGTGTAAGTTGTTATTTATAATATATTTAAATAATGTTTTGGAAATGATAAACTAAAAGTTTTATTTGATTTTCCAGTACTTTTTAGAGTAGGAGTTAAAAAACAGTGTTAAAACAGCAGCAACAGAATATTTTAATTACTTTAAATGAATACATGGTATTGCACTCTGTAGCTCATTTAATCATATTTCTTTTATGTTTGTTTATACAGCATTTTTCCAGAGCATGTTTGTCTCTCTCTCTCTCACATACACACACCATTTATCATATGTTCAATAAAACATCATATGTCTAAATATAAATTATTATATTTATGTTATGCAAAGAAGTTGTAAGAAAATCAAAAAATCATCCTGAATAATAAGCATGACTGAATATTTTATTGGATTATCTGTTTGTGGAATTAGATTAATAATAATATTCAATATGCAGTTTTACTCTTTTATATATACTTGAGTTTTACAAACTTTTTAAAATAATTACAATTATGTCATAATTATTGATCACTAATAAATAAAAGTGTGAAGTGGGTTATACTTACCAAAGTTTTTATAGGTCTTCCACGTACTCTGGCGACATGTAGCACCCACCGAGAAATTCCCAGTAGGCATTGTACTCTGTTGGCAGAGCTGAACTGTTTTCACAGTACATGAACCGCTCCGTTTCAGCTGGAATGGCATTCGTCAATGTTCATTGCCCTATTGCAATGTTGTTATCTTATCAGCAATACAGCAATGAGCATTGCCATACAACAGAATCGACTGGTTTTATTCAAGAGCATGTCTTTTTTGCAGTCATAAATGATGTTCAGGAAATTTCTTATAATAATGTGCATTAACTGAAGACAACACAGCATATGTGAGGATGATCCCATATCAGTCATATGCAATGACAAGCACCACTATGACCCTACTGGGAGATTTTCAGAGTTTGGTCTAAAGGAACTCTGATGTCACCATTTAGTTGATTGGTGTTTCAAGTTCTAGTTTGTAACTGGATGCCCACATTTCATCCAACATGATTGTGTGTTGCAAGTGTCACCTTTTGCTTGATGATAATTTAAAAGCATCTTGTCCACAGCAAATCTGTGCCATTTTAGAACTTCCAACAGATGATGAGGAATACTCCTCCTATGACTTTCCTCATTTACAGCTACTATGTCAGAATTCTGTGAACACACTTTGATGAAATGTGTACTTCACAAACTAATTCCAAGCAATCCCATTGCCAATCAATGTTCAATAATTCCCACACACTTGTCATTAGTAAACGTAACAGGTCTTCCAGTACCAATGCTATGATCAACATCTTCATGACTCTTCTTAATTAAACGCCAACACCTACCTTCTCTGTTGAATATGACAATATATTAATCAGGGCTGTGGAGTTGTTAACAAACAATGACTCTGATTCCAACTCAGACTCCTCAGTTTATGATCCCTTCAATTGCAACTTCTTTATGTATTAATATAGAATATAAATAAGAAATATAGTAATTATACACTTTTTATATTTATTGAATGCACGCAACACAAGGCATTTCATCATTGTCAATGCGAATCGTCAGACTAGTTTTAAGAACCATAACCTATTAAAATTCAGTCGATATATTTTACTGATTCCAGTAACTCAATCACTTTTGAGTCTGACTTCACAGCCTTGGTACTAACATTGCATGCCTCTTTTAATGCTGTGTGACATTTCTCCCATGAGCAACCTCTACTTTCACAAAATAAATCTGTTTCTTACATGTGAACTCCATCTTAGGGCACTGTTTACTGCTAACTTGAATTTCTTCCACTGCCACCAATGCCTCCTAGCAGCCAGAGCTACTTTGTCTGTGGAAATAGAAGTGAAGTACAAGATGCTGCAATGGGAATACTTTTACAACAAGGAAAGAAATTTTATTCATTAGTGATCAATAATTATGACATAACCCTTGTATTATTTTCTAAGAGTATGTTTCAAAATATGAACATATGTATTCTCTTAAGAAATTCCTCAATGGTACAGTCTCTATTTAAAACCACAGCACTGAAAAGCAATTGTAAGGTTATGGACCTGGCAAAAAAATTTGGGAAGAACACTATTTTAAAAATCAGCAAAATTGTTTTATTTCATATGTATCAATAAATACAATATAGCTTAACTTAATTTCAATACATCCTTTTATAAAAACTCTGCATTTAATTCTAACAAGACAGTGAGATCTATTGATTTGAATTTAAATATTTGAAAGACAATTTAAAATTAATGAAACTTACTAAATAATAATAAGGCAAGCTTCATAAAAACTTGGAATCTAAATTAACATTTAAAAAATATAAATCTATGTAAGGGTTAAAACTGTAAACATTGTTTGGTCTTATATTCAAATATGCTGCTGTTCATCTGCTAGATATGAACTTACGCATATCTTATTAACAGAAGTTTTTTAAATTTGATAACATTGCAAAAAATAAAATTAAAAAAATTTCTTGTTTAAATAATTTTGCCTTCTTAGAGATACCCAAGAAACAATATTCATTAATATAATGATTGAAAAAAATTGGCATAAAAGCATAAAGCCAATTTTAACATATGCAAAATTATTCAAGTACAGACAATACAGTATTCACTGAAAAATTTTTTCTTCAAAATTTTTTGATTATACATTATAATAATACTCTACTGAAATTCTGTTTATAATTAAACATTTTCAAAGTGCTACAATAAGAATAAAGTTCCATAAATCAAACATTTCATTTATTGAATCAGAATTAGTATTATAATTAGTTTATTACTTTTTCATTAAAGAATAAAAATAATACTGTCATAATCTCAAACACTTCACATAATTTTCTAGAGCTTTGAGTGTTAAATATTCTTTGTATAAATTCCAATTTGATCTAATTAAGATATTTCATATCTTCTGTAAAAACTCTAAAAAATTCATCATAAAAATTTCAAATGCATGACAGATATCAGAAATTGATAAATCAAAAATCTGTACTTAACTTATAATTTGACATTAAAAACAAACTAACAATCTTCATGATCATCTAATTTTATTTAAACTATGTAAAATATTTTAAAGAATTAAAGTAATTTATTTTCTTAAATTTATTTGTTGAATATTTTAAGTACACCAGACACAGTAAGGCAATTTATTTAGACAAGAAGTGAAAACAGAATATCTGTTTACAAATTTATGATCATTCATTAACAATTCAATGTTTCTAAGCACCAGATTTCAAATAGGAATTTGACAAACAGTAAACATTGAAACAATTCCCAGTCTTTATTTTACTGGTTTAGTGAGCAGTTTAAAGTTATACAATACATGAACAGTTGTCAAATGGCACATTTCTGCACACATTTGGAATTACAGTTTTAAGGTAATAGAAATTCCCTATCGTATTTCAAATCAGCAGATTTGTGCGTTTAGCAAAGTAACATGAGACAGTACAGGTTTGGTACTTTGGTTGCAACAGTACTTTTTTGTGACTTGGTACTCAAAGCTTAGAAGTGTTAAAAAAAACATGCTTAGTCAATAGATACAAATAACTAAAATAAATAATTCAGCAATCACTGATAACAAGAAATTTATTCTGACCAGTAACAAGTATAAATAATAGGTTTAATACAAGAAATATGATCTATTAATTAACATGTTTTTATTTTCTGGTTATTCTCAATATTTTTTCTTTTTAAATGAATGTTTTCTATTTTTCTTGTTTCTAGATTTGATAGGAATGCTTTAATCTTTCAAATAGATTCGTATAATTTACATAAAACCCACAATTTGCAGGAACAATAATAATAGCAAATTTCTACATTATTTTTAAAATTTTGTTTTATGTAACTTTAAAACAAATATGGAACAATAGTCAGACCCACTTCATCAGATAACATTATGGCAGTGGTGGTGTCCTCATTTATTACAAGAGAAGTATTAGGTGGGCTTTCTATACATAAAACTTTGTAGATAAACAATTTAAGGACTCCATTAAAATATACAACAGAAAATGAAAGATAAAAATATGTATATGATTAAATATAAATAGATTTGATGGTAAAAAATATTACATAATTGAAAGTAATAATCATAAATCATAAAAAAGTGAGTACCTTTAGCCTGAAGCACCACCAAGTATTGTCCTTTTGAATGAAGTAAAGGGACACTATACAAGCTCTTGTACAAGAGTCCTGCCTCTGGCACAGGCAGGCAGTTGAGAAATGATGTTGTGGGCTTGCCAGGAATTTTATTCCTGATTTCTTCTCGGTCTCTCTGACCAGAACCAGCCGGTCAATCTAGAAATGTTCTGACTGAGAATTGTGTGTTTAAATGTCCTCTCTGGCTCCAGCCAGTGTTCTGTACTACTTGTTCACCTTTGTTTACAACTAGTTGTATACAACACTACCTTAGCATTTCTGTATATTGTTGTTTGTGCTTTGACAACATGTCTGTTACCGTAACTAATTTCTTCAAAATTGGCTATTCAAATAAAGTTTAAATTAACAAACAAAAATATCATTATGTTATACTTAATATGATTCATCAATACTAACCCTAGTTTGACTAAGATTTTGCAATTCTTCTTTATGAGTTGCACAAATATGATGAAGAGTAGCCAAATCACGTGCAGGATCACCAGATATTGTTTCATCAGGATCAGGTCTCTCGGGAACATTCTTGAAATAAAGATATAGTTATACAAGTTAATGAAATGCTTTCTCTAAAATAGTTTTTGTAAATAATTTAACATTTTTTAAAAAAATTTTCTTCAAAAGATCAAAAATGAATTATGCAAATCTATATAGGCCAGTGGTTTTCAACCAGAGTGCAGCAAAAACACTCCTTATCTAAAAAAATTACCAAATTGGAGATGCCACTGTTAAACAAAGCTTGAAAAATACTGAAATAAGTAGTAAACAACATAATTTATCCATTATATTAATATCTCCAACTATAAAAAGAAACTACTTAATGAAAAATATATTTAGTCTCAGTATAATCCTAATTTTCTCTACTGCATTAATGGAAAATAGGACTAACATTTTGGAATTTTCTTAAAACCTTCTTTTCATAATGATTCTATCAATCATCTAACACAGTGTTTTTCAACCTGTGGATCGCAACCCCCAGGGCAGTTGCAAAACCTTACATGGGGGGGGGTCACAGGTAAAAGAAAAAGGCAAGTGTTTGTAGGTCCTACACTACAATAAAAAAAACCTACAATCTCAGTGAGAAGGCTGTGCCTATTTATTTTACAGTACAATTGGTTTTTTGATCAATATTTAGGTCTACACAGAAAGAAAATTAAATACTTAGTTTTTAAAATCACTGACATAGTTTTAATATGGCTCTGGGGGTAGCTAGAATTTTTTTAACTTGTACAGGGGTCGTTTATTCAAGAAGGTTGAAAAACACTGATCTTAAAAGCTAGGAATCATGTAAATTAAATTAACAATGAGATTAAACAATAAAATATATGCTATTACTACAGATTATTGGATTTAGATATTTAATCATTCTTGTTTTCTCAGGCTGATTCATTTATACTGTTAACATCTGGAAACATTACATCCTACCATGCTTGTTTGACATTTTGCTATGCTTTGGCTTGGCACTCAATGTGATATTTATTAATAACACTCTCTAACAGGAAACCTTATTCTGAAGTTAAGACTTTTAGAACTATTAGTCTAATGCCTTTCATATCAAAATATTGGAGAAGCTACTTGATTCTCTCTCATTCTCTTCAGTTTGCTTATCAACTTGGCAAATCTTGTAGGACTTTTTTTAATTTGGAAAGACAAACTGTAAAGTGGGCTTGGATGTCATGAAATTGCACTAGCTTTTTCTAAACATTAAAACTGCTTTTGATAAGAACTTTTTTGAAACTATTAAATATGTTGCATTTAAACAGGGTGTTAGGCCTATCCTCATTTGCTGGACAGATTTCATGTTTTACCATGTAATGTAGTGACTTTTCTCTGAGCTTTCCTTGAGAGCATCCATTGTGTAATGCTGCCCGCATAGGTGTTCTTTTATTTTCTATAGTGTCTCATTATGGATGACACTTTTGAAGAATTTCAATAGTTCTGTGTTGTATGTCCAAGTTATGCAGACAATATTGTTCTATTGCATTGAAAAATTTCTCAGCCCTCTCTCAGATCCTTTTCAAAGAGGCAGTATAGACCTAGTAAGAATAATAGCTTTAACATCAGACCTGATAAAAATCATTACTGTTTCTTTTACTTGTAAGGAGCTTTTCTGGGCTCTTTCACCGTGGTAAAAGGTTGAGGCTTTACTTCTACAACCACGTAACTTTGTGTACAGCTTGACCCTAGCCTTTCACAGATTTAGCACTGAGACGATTTTTAACAAAGTCAAGTGTATCTTCTGGTTGTGTACAAATATTCTTAAAATGTTTGGGCATTATACTAAGGTGGTATGACCTAAGACTGCCTACACTTCTTAATTTGGAGGCCTGGATGCCTAGTAAGGATTGTCAGGTAACGTTGCAAAGTGTGATGTCTGTCTTGCTATGAATTTGCTACGTCTTGCATGTATTCTTATCACCTTTTAATTTAGGCTAACGCAAGAAGGGTATTCTGTAAGCTCAAGTGAATAATCAGTTAAACTTGGATATTATGTTTTATTGACCATCCAGTCCATTATTGTGTGTTGATAGTGTCATTTTCTAAAAATTTGCATGTTTATTTTGGAATTTACTTTGTGTATAAATCTTATAAAATGTGCAAGACAAGTTTTAAATGAAATTTCCTCAATTGTTTCCTCCAACAAGCCAGCCAACAATAATGCATATAATTGCAAAAATTTTGTGAGACTGAAAGCACAGAGAAAAAAAGTCCAGGCTAACCAACTGTTAACTATTCTGGATTTTCTGAATGGTTGGAGATGTTAGTGACTACCCTGACATCTCCAACCATTTTTTTCTTTGGGTGTATTTAAAAAGGTATGTTATTTCATAATAATCCTCATACTCTTGATGAACTGAAGGCTAATATTAAAAAAAATACATAATGTTTCCCAGTTTTGTTTGCAAATTTAAAATAGCTATAAACTTGTATCTAGGCAGATGGAAATCATTTCTAACACTTTGCTGCAAAAGTTGTGTAATCTATTTCGTTTTTGTGTGATTTGTTAAAATCCCTACAATGCAATTCGCATTTTTTGTGAAACACTTTGTAGATCAAAATGCTAGCTTTCATCCCACCATACACAAACATTAATATAACTAACTAATATACACATAATTATAAATAAATAAAAATTTTACCAAAGTCTGAGAAATTTTCATGCAATTCCTTAGCATATAAAATTAAGTTTCTTTTAGTTAAGTTGTTGATATTAACAAGCAATTATTTTATTGTGACATTGTCGCAATGCCAGGCTGCAATTTTTAATCATATATTTTAAATTAAAAAAATTAAAAGTATGTTCTCCACTTCAAATTAGTACTATAGTGTCTTGCCCCTGGACATAATACTTTCCTTTAACAATAGAGTCATACCAGTCACTAACTCCTTTCAGGGAAAAAATAATGTGACTTCCAGTTTGCATCAGAAGTACATATATAGTTAATTGGGGCCTCTTAAGCCCAAGGTTTCTATATCTGGTATCGGATTTCAGCTATCTAACTCTGTTCTCCAGATTAAAGAAAGACAAATGGACAGAAGTGGGAATTTATAGGTCTACAATTTTTTTAAACTGCAATCCAATAAAAAAAATTACTTACTGATATGTCATCCAGGAACTTAATCATTCTGTTCTTATTTTTTAAAATGAAAGGATTTATTACTTCCATCCATGGTTCCTAATCAATAAACATACAAAAATTAGTTTTCATATTTATATTTTGTTTATTCATTTCAATAATTACAGTTTATAAATAAAATCTGTTATTTAACTAATGATATTGATTCATATTTTGTAGTTAATAAAAATGATTTAAAATGAAGAACTACTTCATTAAAAGTTTAAAAATATAAATTAATGAAATGCTTAATAATGAATTATATAGATATTTTTGCTATGAAGTAAAGTTTATACAAAATTTACAAAATATAATTAAGAAAATAAATTTAAAGATTATTCTATTATAAAATATGTTTTAAATATCCTAATCCAAGTATATGATGATGATGACAAGAATAATCATTTTTCTTGTCATTTGCAATTTTTAATCATTCCAATAGGCCTACTAGATATAAGACTCCCTAAATTTGCAACCCCTTTTTGTTTTCAGTCTGTTTTCCAGTTGTGCTCTTCTCAATCCTTTCTTCCCATCTTTTCTTTGGATATCTTTTTCTCTTGCCTAGAGGTTTTCAAGTCTAGGATCTTTGTTTACATATGTTCTTTTGACTACATGCCACTGAATTTCACTCTTGAGTAATTGATGTAATTATACACAAAATCAATAGTCTGTTGTCCGTATATTACTTTTTGTCCTTCAAACTTTAGGCTCATCATTATACATTCCATTTCTTCCAAAGTTATTTTTATTTTCTTTTAGGTTATGTTTTAGTTTGTTAAAAGTAGCTAAGAAAATTGTATTTTTCTTTTAATGTCAGCTTTACATTTCTGAATGAAAATCATCTAAAATGGCTCAGCTAATAGTTATTCCTGGCTGCTTCAATTTCCACTTGGTTTATTTTAATTGATATTAATTGGCAAAATTAATGAATATTAAAAATAAACAGATGTAATCTTACTATATTTCTAATGTTATTTAGTTCTTGCGCTGTTATTTATAATTCATGTGCTGTGTTGGCAAACACAATGTCATTGTTAAAATCACAGATTCACAGGATATAAATATTAATTGTTAATTTTTATTTCCTTTCCAGACCAGTTTAATTTGTTAAAAATTTCTTTGTGTGACTACTGTAAATAGTTTTGGTGAAAGTGGTTCATCTTGACCTGAGAGTGGTTCAACAAAGAAATAAATTTAGTTTTATTATCTTGTGTTATGGTTGTGGCATTTTGGTATATTTTCCTTGTGAGATCAACATTTATGTTCTACACATTTAAAGCATCAAGAATAACAAGTTTTCATACTGTCTTATGTTTAATCAATCTATAAAGACCATGCAAAGTACTCAGTTTTCTCAATTACTAGTTTTACTGTTTGAATGTGATCCTAAATAATTAAAGCTTGATCTAAATCCTGCTTGGCATCCAATTTTAATAGGTTAGCCTATTGATTAATATTTACAAAAATTTTTTACTCTGTTGATAAGCTGATATATTAGTAATTTTCACTTCCTCTCCAACTTAATTTTATTTAGCATCATTCAAATTTTACTAAATTTTTCAGGCTATAATTTTGCTATATTTAATTAAATTATAAATTAATTTTAAAATTAAATTTTAATTAATTAATTTGTAAATTTTTAAACATATAACTGATACTTATTGCTGGAAATTTAAGAATGCAATCAAATGAATGATAAGTATTTCTGGTATCTAAGTTTGAAAGTCATTTTATGTCAGAACGTTAATATCAATATTCTAATTTCAGATTTAGCAAGAATTTTTTCACTGTTTTAGATGCAACTTGGTGTATTATCCTATGACATAAACTGATGTTCTTTTTGTACAGATCATTTGCTCTGAATTAAAAATTTTATTTATGAAAGACTTATGCATCAAATACAATTATCAGTAAGAACTTCTTGAATTTAGTAAGTTTTGTGGGAACTGTATTTTGAATACATAATCATAAACACGTCAAGATTAACAAAGATATTTCCTTAACACTTCAATATTTTCAACTCAAGCCTCTTTGACACATTAAAATATAATTTTACTTTTGCATTCTGCTTAAACATACAATCTAAAATTAGAAAATGTTACGTATTAAAAAATTTGAATACACATTTAATAAATAAATAAATAGAAGATATATTTTTATTATAATATGCATAAATACTTCCATACTTGGATGGAGCAGAATTAATTTAACTGGTTACTTTGGAAAATTGAAATTGAATTATTCAAGTTTTTCATCTCTTCACAATAAGATTATTAGCAAATTTGGTTAATTTTTGATTTAAACCACCTAAGCAAGCATTTATGTACCTATATTAAATTAATAACTTTATCATTTGCTACTTGTGTTTGTTTTTCTAGTTTTAAAACATACATTTAAAATTATAGAATGTTACAATATGTTTGATTTTTATTTTGCATTCTATTTATATTTTAATGTGTTGAAGATCAAGTTAGGTTGAAAAATGCTACAGCATTAATAAATAGAAAATTTGTTCCTTTTTTCCTTAATCTACTATTATTCATGATTATTTAATGTTAATTACATTTATATCAATTTGTTTTGCATTTTTAAAATCTTGTTTTTGATATTTTTGTTTCATTGTTATTGTATTGTGGTATAATAGTTCCTTGGATAACTTGGATCCTATAATTGTCAGGTTTACTCTGGGTGTTTATGCAACAGTTTGTCACATCCAATCTGTATTTTTATCTTTTCTTCAGGTATACCTAATTTAAAAAGATTTACTTCAATTTTTGCCTCATGCTTCTTTGAATCAGTTGAATCAATTTATGTTCAAAATAATTACACATTTTCATTCACAGATTAAAACAAGCAATATCTAGTATTTATGTTTAATATTCATTGCCCTTCAATCTTTCATTTTAGAAATACAACAATAACATAATGATAATTCAAAATTTCTTATTACTTTGATGAAAACTTCATGTAAATATGATGACCATTTAAACTAGAGATTTGCTGCTTTCTGGACTTGCTTTTTCTATAGCTAGGCTGCTGCTTGTTTCTTGTTTATCAATAACATTGTGTATTATGCACTCACTCACTGGTCTGGCTGTATCCTAAGAAAGACATTGATAATTATGCTATCCAGACTTCCAATTCACTGTCTTCTTATATATATATATAAATTTGTCTACAATCATATTAAACTTTTGCTTATTCACGGGAAATATTTCTGTCCTCTTGTAAATAGGAATACTTCAGTTGTAACTTTTATTTAGGCTTAGAATTTTGGTTTATGTATGTGTGTGTATGGTACATATACATAAACATAAGTGTACACAAATCCAAAATTAAGAAATTTCTGATATCTAACATTGATACAATATAAAAACACTAATTAGAACAAAATTATTCATATTTCAACAATTTAATTAATAACAACAAAATTATAACAACATTTTGGAGGATATAATTGATCTCAACACTGCTTATGCTCATAACCATCTGATTATAAGCACAATAATAATATGTCCAACATTGAGTAGATCTTTTTGAAATTATATTGCACATTTACCTGCTACAAACAACTATCAAAAAAGAAAAAAAAATTAAATTGAAACGATGAAATATCAAAAGTAATTGAGTTAAACATTTTACATGTTAATATTTGACTACGTTGTAATTCTTAAAGAAAAATGAACAAAATTTGTACAGTAATTATTTGCTTTAAAATTTGGAGAGAAGCTAAAATAAAATCATTATAGTTGCAAGATAAGCAGCAACCAAAAATGTGAATATTATATAAATCAACTGATCAATATGCAATTTCACAAGAGTTAAGTATCCAAATATTTGCTAATAATTTCTAGATAGATTAAGTGTGCTTGATATACCAGACTAATTAATTAATTTGAATTTATTCAATTCAAATATATTAAATTATATGTAAATTAAATAACTTAATCTTTGTTTTAATTTAACTATGGAATAACTTAGAAATTAAGTATTTATTAAAATAAAAAATTTATTTTATTACTTTTGCTCCAAATTCAACAAGATTAGCCAAATTCTGTAAACATTTTGCCACTAAAATTAAACTTCTTGCTGCTATTTCTGAAGGAGTATCTAATTTTAAGAAAAACAAAAAACAAAATATATATTATATATATATATTTTTTATCTTCTTAGATTAAAATAAATTTGTAAAATATAAAAAAAAAAAATGAAAATTTTGTCTTTACAAATATTCAAAAATAGAAAATTAAATACCATTTATTAAATTGAACTGTCTTGGATTCAATATTGCGGGACAAAGCAATCTCAAAAAAACAAATCCACTAAAATAAAAAGCAAAATAAATCATTAAATCTGCATAGTATAGCAGTTTAAAATTTTATTTTAAGTTTCAAAAATGTACCTTACAACTCTTGTTTTTACTAATGGATCATTAGGCCATTTTGCCATTACACTTTTTTGTAAACAACTACAGATATATCGAAGAGTTCTTGGAAATAAAAGTAAATTTTATAAAGATCTTATATTTTTAAAAAGAAAAACTATATACTTTATAAAAATAATAATAATTCACTTACTTAGGACATGAATCAATTGCAGTGAATATTGATTCTATAATTTCATCCAACAAACTCAACAAATGTTCTGCATTTGCACAAGCTTCACTTGGACTTTCTAACTTACTAGGATTCAGCTGAAGCACAAAAATTACCATTTAAGACTACAGATAATGTAATTTCATAAAAATTACATGATAAATTACTAATTTTACGTGATGACCAAACCGATTAACTGTCATCACCAAATAAATATTTCTTGCCATACCTGATATCTATTCAATAATTCTTATCCTATGTCTGGTATATGACAGAATGCCAAATCATCACATTACCTTTAAACTTTTCTTACTATTGTTGCCTTGCTGAGGCCAGGCTGACAGCTGAGAAGGAGAGAAGCTCTCACCAATATAGTATTTCAGAGATTAATGCCAAATTTTTCTTTTAAATTATAAAAGACATGCAAGCACAAGCCTCAGACAGACATCTACACAAAGAACATGACAACAATACCAACATACATTTTTAAGAATAAAATGAACAGTACCTATTTTGAAATATTACTATTTTTCAGGAAAATAATTTTAAAGCAAATATATTTTGAGTTAAGTCTTGCAATGGCATCACTATAACCTTGTGGTGTATTCCATTCAAATAATGGCAGTGAGTGTTGTAACTAGTTTGTGCAAGAAAATTAACTCATCAGAAATCGAAAAAATTTATCAAATATATTTACAACAGTTGCCATGTTTATATGATTTAAAAAACATTAGATACAAATATAGTTTGTTTAAATACAGTATATAGATGGAAATAAAATTTTATTTGTGTTCTCTCTTGGCTGAAAGCATAAACTGAAACTGAACTTAAAACATTTTCTATTCATTAGATTTTGTATGTGTTGCTGGCATACATATATTATAATGCAAACAGAACAAGAACATCCTGAAATGCTTGATTATGCAATTTTTAAACCAATTTTTCTAAAAAATAGTATTTATTATATTTCAATCTTATGCTTATTTATTTCACTGCAAATGGATAATAGTGTAATTATATGATAAGTTTTTTTATATGCTTATATGATATCTTAAGATGAAAAACAATTTCACTGTTATACCCTTTAAAAATTACCATGTGTGTCTGTTCCTTCCATTCAAATTTATCATTTTCATTTAAATTTGATTTCTATGAGCATATAAATTATACACAATACATTTGTGATTTACGAGGAGATGTATTCCTGAAAATTCGACAAAATGTTCATTTAAATAACAATTTACAATAAAGTAAATTTTCATTTAGACATTAGTAATTTATGAAACACTTATTTACTTTACGAACAAAAATTCAAACAAATTACAAATATACAATTTAAGATTCTCACAGAAATTTTATTGTATCACAGGTATGCGGTATCTGGATATATACAGGTAGGTATCTAGATATGACATGGATATTCAATGTTCAGCATATCAAACAGAATTCCTCTATTTGCTGATAATGGGAGAGTGTTGGTGATTGTCAACTCTTGATACATACCAAATTTTAACAAAAATAAAATTTAAATGTTTGAGGCAAAGCATTCAGTTAACCATTTAAAAGTTTAAATAAAATACCAATCTATGGGTTATACTAAAGTATGTTTGTTACAGGATCCTAACATAGAAATGTATAATGATTTCCAAACGAAAATATGTTTGCATTCAATGAATTGTCTAAGTAATGATGCTTTGGTCCACAAAAGGTATACTATATTATACAAACAATATTACATAGGAGCCATCTAAGTAATAGTTTTGTGTTTGAATTTGGTTGTTTTTTGTTTGGTTGTAAATGGACTGTATAAATGCCCAATTTTTCTAAGGATGAAAAACTATCTATCTGTCATCACAAATTAGTCTGTATGATGACTTCAGAACAAGAGTGATTCAAATACAGTTTTTGGTGTTATAGCTTCAGCATGTGGAATTTGTTTAAATGAAATTGCTTTATATAATGCAATATACATCTAGTCAAATCTGTTTTTACAAATTTGACTTTCACTACAAATACTAGTTTGTAAAAACTGACATTTGTAAACCCACTAATTTCATACATAAAGATCCATCACATTATACATTATTACAGTTTTTAAAAAATACAAGCTTATCATCCAATCAGGCCACAGTTGCCATTATATAGACTAGTTGTAATAACATATAGTTTTTCAACTTTAGAAAAAGAGAACATTATATGGTCTCTTTATAACAATAAAATTCAAATGGAAAACTATATTACATAAAGGTAATAAACTGAAAACTTTTGTACCAACTAATGAAACACCAACAGATGAATATCAAATAACAGATGTACTACAAAACTTTCAAGGAAAGTATTAGATTTTAATCTTATACCTTTGTGGACTGAAATATCATTACTAAGACAATGCATTGAACACATCTATTTTCATTTGGAAATCATTATAATTATACATTTCTGTTTGGACCCTACAACAAACCTACTTTAAAAATTCCAGACACTTGGATTACACTTTTTAAACTTTATTAATTCAAATGCCTTGCATTAAACATAAATGTTTAATGCAAGGCATTTGAACATTATTAAACATTTATGTTTTAAACTATAAACATTAAACATTTATTTTTTTAAACATTTATTACATTTTTTTAAACATTTATGTTTTTGCTACATTTTTGTTATTATTTGTAATTTTTATAATCCTATTACTTACTTTACTTTTTATTACTTTTGTCATTGTAACATCAATACATTGAAATTTGAATATAAAAAAAATGAAATGTTTGTAATTTCAAATATGTATTCCTTTTTCTTTCAAAAGAACATACTAACCAATAACAACAAAAATAACACTGGGATGAATTACAAAAATCATACTCCTAGAACTTAATTTCTGGTGTGACAAATGTTCGCACATGCGTGCCCATAGGGTAATTATATCTTACCAATTACAGTTCAGAGTCCATCAATGCCTGCCAAGCTATAGACAAAACTAACTCATCTTTAAAATTGATACAAGAATTATTAAGGATCAATTTATAAATTTGGATAGCTTCTAGCCATTTTAGTTGCTCGATGTGTGACATTGTGCAGACTAGCTTTGCCTGATTAACCCCTTCTGAGCCGCGCTCGAGTGTGACTCGAGCAAGTTTTATAGCGTTATGTAAAAATTGGTCGTTAAGGCCACTTTTGAAAAAATTATTTTTTTTTGAATTTTTGGAATGTTTTTTAGGTCCCCAAATTTTTTCAGAATTTTTTGCGCACGCGAAAAAATTTTATCGCGATTTTAATGAGCCTTTAATAAGGCTCGATTAAGGCTTAATGTTTTTTTAATGGGTGTTTTTTATCAAAATTAATTTATCGTTCTAAAGTTGTACTGCACCGATTTTCCTTCGGTAAAGTTATTTAAAGCTGCTTTCTGATGTCAAAAACGACTTCCGATAGTTTTTTAATTTTTTTAATTAATAGATTTTATTATATAGAAGTTTAATTAATTAGGGGGGGTCGGAAATCGCAATAAAAATTATAATTTTTTTAAAATATTTAAAAATATACCGCCAGATTGAAGTCACCCTACTTTAAACCCTTGTCCTCCCGCGATGTCTATGAGAATGTCCCGGGAAATCCGACTCCAGCTGTGTTCAAGGTCATCCAGCTGTGTAAACAATAACTCATCGGTGTTAAATTTCGCAGAAAGGCCAGACAAAAAAACTTAGACTTTGAAGCTTTTTCTTCAAAATTAAAACTGAAAAAAAAAAAAAACGAAAGAAATGCGTTTTTTCAGTTTTAAGTATTTTTTATGCTTAATTAAAAATTCTAAAAAAATGGGCGGCTTAAAAGGGGTTAAAGGCCACCGAGATGTCGGGATCGAAGGCATAAGTGGCGATGGCGGAGTTTCTGTTATGTTGGATATCTGATATGTGCTCCTGCAGTCTGACCATAATTATTAAAGGAGTGTTTGGTCGATCCAATGTAAATGAGTTCCCTATCAAATCTGTTGTCTCTAATGGGGATACTGTATACGCCCGGTAGTCTGTTCTGGTTGGAGGAGGGGGGGGTCTTTCCCATTGCAGAGGATGTGAAATATGGTAGGACATCTGTACGTGATCTGAATTTGGTGCTTCTTGGTGATCTCGGTGTAAAGTGTTTTAATGTATGGATTGACCATGATAGGGATTCATAGAGGTACTCCAGGACTGTTGTGAGTCTGCGTGTCAGTCGCAATGGTGTGTTGTCAGTGCATATGGTGATAGCATTCAATCACCCATGGTTTCCTGACCCTAACTCAAATTGATTGAACGCTATCACCATACGCACTCACAACACACTGTCACGACTGACACACAGACTCACAACAGTCCTGGAGTATCTCTACGAATCCCTATCACGTTCAATTTGTATGTTAAAATGCTTTACACCAAGATTGCCAAGAAGCATCAAATTCAGGTCACGTACAGAAAATGTCCTACCATATTTCACATCCTCCGCAATGGGAAAGACCCCCTCCAACCAGAAGAGACTACCGGGTATATACAGTATCCCCATTAGAGACAACAGATTTGATAGACACACACAGATTATTCATTTACATCGGATCAACCAAACACTCCTGGGGGGGGGTCACAGACTGCAGGAGCACACATCGGACATCCAACATAACAGAAACTTCACCGCCATCGCCACTTATGCTTCTGATCCAGACATCCGATCTTTAATCAGGCGAAGCTAATCTGCACAACGTCACACATCAAACAACTGAAATGGCTAGAAGCTATTCAAATTTATAAAATCGACCCTTAATAATTCTTGTATCAATTTTAAAGATGAGTTAGTTTTGTCTATAGATTGGCAGGCATTGGATTCTGAACTGTAATTGCTAAGATATAGTTACCCTACGGGCACGCATGCGTGACTCGTATTACACTTTCGTTTTATTTTTCACATATACCCTTAACCGATTGCTCCGTCCCATCAGAAACTCCCTTTTCACCTGAGGAAGAACTCGCAGAAGTTCAAAAACGTTTGTAGTGAACTGTTTTTGTTTTTTTTTTTCATCCCACCGGAAATTAGATTCTAGGAGTACGATTTAAGAACACACTAAATGGTATTTTTAATACATTCTATATTGCCTGAAGAAGACATCAATGTGATGTTTATATTAGCAAGTAACTTGACATCTAAAAACCTGATTATTAGGTTAAAGCCAAATGATTGCCAGATTATATCAAGCTATATTAATAGTAGTATTAACATAGCCAGATATAATCTGGCAGTTGTTTGTACTTGCTAACTCTTATCATTGTTAAAGTATCATTAAAAGACAGTATTGTTCATATTTATATATTTTATTGGTGTGAAGTGTACATATTTTTTATTTATGATACCAAATTTTATTTTCTTTCAAAAATGCCTTTATAGAATTTACATAACATGATGATGTAAGATCTGTCCAAGAGAGAATTGGATAACTAGTCTTCAGTAATTTAAAAAAAGTGGTATTAATCTGGCCTTTATGCATTTTGTTAAAGTAGATCCAGCCATTTATTGATATTCCTTGTCAGTGAGTGAACATCTAATATTCTATATATTCTATTTCTGTAATGTTTTATCATCAAATTTAAAAACTTGAAGATGACCTATGATAGAAAATGTTTATTAAATAAACAATTTTTCTCAGAGCATTAGATACCTAAGTAAGATTTTTATCTTAATTGTATCCTAATTACTGAGAAAAATTCTTAATTTTAGTTAATCTGTTAAAAAAAAAAAATATGACATTTTTTTTTTATATATTAATCAATTTTCACATATTCATAGAACATATTTCCTTAAATTTTAACATATTTCTTTATGGAAAGTATATAATTTTATGGTTTAAAATTGCATGAATATTTATTTTTATACATGCCCTAGGAATGCAACACCTGTTTGAATTTAATTTCACTATATGTTTGAAATTAATTATATTATTTAACATTAATGAAGTATTTTATTTATTTCAAATACTGTATTCTTATCTTTTAATGCTAACATCTAAAGCACTAATAATAAAGAATAATTTCATCATATATATAATAATAATTAAAAACAATTTGATAATTTAAATTAAACTCTATTCATTAACAAAATAACACTTGCCTTCATTTCTTTCCAGTTCTCACTATTGTGAAATTGAAATAAATTTTTAATGTATCAGATTTATATTACTTTTGCTTTCACGTATGTCTACTACAACGGAAAATCTAAGCATGCAAACCAGATATTTTACTTACGTTCTTAATTGTATATGTAAACATTAAGTATTTGATATTAATACATTTGTATTTAATATTATTGACACTCTTATTTAAAAATAAATATATTAATGTAGTTAGAAATGCAAGGAAATTGATAATTTATTGTAATAATTTTAAGCAGCATTTTCTTTTTAACAACAATGTGATGTACTGAACAAACCTGCCTTCTCAAAAACTCGATCGACGACTAAGTATACCAAACAAAACCTTCATAATTCAGAATACAATCATTTTGTTCAGTGTAGGCTATGCCAGCTAAGTTACATAAAATACTAGTACTACTAAGACCAAATACAACTTCCTGTTGGATTACAGTAACATGATTTTATAGGCAAATTTTATGTAAAGTATCAGAAATTCCACAAAAATATACTAAAAAAATTATTTTTAATATGATGTAAAAGGTCCAAGTAAAAAATCTACTAAATCCACTTACAGTGGTACCTCAGGTTACGAACGCCCCAGCATGCGAAATTTTCAGGATACGACATGAAATTCGAACATATTTTTGCTTCACGATACGAACAAAAACTCACCATACGACGTTACATTGCTTCGCATTTTTCATTTGTTTTTCTTACTACAGTTATTTTTTTTTAATGTATTACTTGGCTTTAATTTGAGTATGTTTTTCGCGTTGGAACGAATTATTTGGTTTTACATGTAATCGTATGGGAAAAGATGATTCACCTTATGACATTTTCATGATACAATCTCAGTTTCGGAACGGATTAATTTTGTATCCTGAGGTACCACTGTATATGAAAAATTAATCTGAGACACATGACAGTACGATTAACTAATACATACAGAGAAAATTAAGTAGATTTAAAAACAAACACTAAATTAAAAACTTTCTTTGATTTTAGTAATATTTCAAAAAAGGTACAGTTTAATTTTAATCTTATTAATGGATGTTTATTAATAAAACCATGATTAACAAATACATTACATGGATAAATGCCAACAGTATTCATGCTGCAGTGGATCACAAGTGCAATAAATAGGAAAGTAACACCCATTAATTTATTTTCAAACAAATGTAAATGGGTACACTTATATAATTTGAAATATATTTAAAAAAAGTCAAATTTTAAGAACCACTTTAGCATAACTAAATTATTTTAATATTACAAAAAAAGAAACAATTAATATACTTGAGAATTAAAATTTTTTAAAAATGTAACAAATAACATATTAATTACAATAAATTATTTACCTCACAGGATTGTCTGCTTTCCATCACTTTGTGGATGAAATCCTCTACAGCCTGCTGTAAGAAACCATGTGATGTAGAACGCATATACTGATCCATTAATGTTGTAGTCAACGATGCTGAACGAAATAATGTTGAAGTTTCTTCTATAGCAAAATTTAAAAAATACACACAAATAAAATAGATTTACCTAATGTAATAGCAATGGCTCCCAAATTTATATATAAATTGTTCATTTCAATAAGTTGCTAAGTCATAAAATCTAAGATTTTTTTACCAAATGTGTTCCATAAAATTTTTTATATAAAAAATAAAAGCAGTTCACAAAATCAAATATACTTGAAAAAAGAAGGGGGAAAGAGAAGATTAGACATTTTACTCAAAAAAATTCTGAGAAGAAAATTATGCAATTAATATGTTATTAAATTAGCTACATTTTTAACATGTTAACTGCTATTCGACCTGCCAGCAGTCATACTAATTAGGGCCGTATAGAGCTATCTGACTGCCCGACGTCGCTATAACTAATGTAGTTTCACTCAAGGTTAAATTATCCTGGCTTTGTAAGATGTCATTTTACATCCTAGCGGTGGCCTCTCGCACACATTTATAAAGTTGGCTCTGACCGCTGGCAGTCATATGGCTCTGAACAGCCCTATTTAGTATGGCCGCCGGCATGTCAGATAGCGGTTAACGTATTAAAAAAGTATTTTAAATAGATATAGTGTCAATTTCAAAACAAACAAACCTGAAGAAGAAATTAAATATATAGGAGGAATATTGCATCTATATTGTGATATTCTGTCATGTTAATAAAGACAAAATATTGCAATATAGATGCTTTAATCTTTAACAGAATAGTTTAAAACATGTTATTTAAAGAAATGGGCACTAAGTATCAATACATCTGATTTTTCTATATCTTTTATTTCTTTTTGCCAATCATGAATAAATTAGTTAAATATTTATATTTATAACAACTTCTAGCAATAAATTTCTTTATCAATTTTTTTCTTTGAACATCATTAATTCTAAATTTCTGAAGATTTTTGTTTTCATAAAATTTTGTTCTCTCCACACAACACTTATTTTAAAATCACCATTCTTTAGTTAAAATTTTTTAAAGACTAAAATGTAATAGCTTTATGGATTTGTCACCTAAAGAAAACTTTGTAACTCAATTCATATTATATAAATTCAATACTTAGTAAGTAGAATATTAGATTTTAATGATATTTCATATTTTATTTCTACAGGGCTTAAAGCAGTCATGGCAGTAAATATACGTGGAAAAAAAAGTCCACACTGAAAAAAAGCCAATAGTGTTAAAATGAACTAAAAGAGGCATTATTAAAAAAAAACAGACATTTTGTATCAATAACATTGTATATAATATTAGATTGATTATTAAGTTGACTGAAAAAATTAAATATGAAAATAGTTAGGCTGAGTTTATACTCTAGGAAAGAGACCAGTAAGATTGCATTAAGCCAGAACAGGCCCGAATTAAGTTTTCATGTGCCCCATACGGAGTTTCCACTGTTATACAGGAAAGGAAATGGAAGAGTAACATTACTACTAGAATATGTCTCCATATAACATTCCAAATGCCATTTATTTCAAGGTACATTTTTTGATTTCTTAATATAAAAAATTTGTATGTTCAAGTGCTCTTAATTTTTCCTCCTCTTCTTTTCTCTCCCTTCCTTCTTGTTCTTTTTTCTGTTTTTCTTCTTTCAGTTTACTTTGCTTCTCCAAAAAAGCCTTGTAAGTAGCAGCATATGCATTGTGGGCTAACCCAAGTAACTTCTGTCATTGGCACAAAAAAAAGACAATATTATTGTATACATGGAGTCCATCTTTTACTATTAACAATAAATTTATCATCTGTTCTGACAGAGGCTCTGTCTTCTGTCAGAATCCATCCAGAAATGGAGAACCCTCTTTCAACATCTGCAATGCCATGACTGAAAGCGAACACCTCTGACTACTTTAGCAACAGTTGGGTATTTTGGCATTCCAGCAGAATTCTTCACGTCAAATAAGTGCTTATAATCATGTTATTTTAAAGCAAATAACTTCTAAAGAATTCAAATTTGACCCAGAAATAATTAAAAAATACCAATGGAAAAAATTTAAATTATTTTAGTTTTGTGATACCATGTCCCATATAATTTTGTATTTTGTTAATTTTATGAATGTNATTTTTTAAAATATAGATTTGGTGTTTTCTTACATTCTCAAATTTTAATTTTCACTCTTAAGTATAATCTGTTTCAAAATATTTCCAATTAATAAAACCTAATATAACTTTTTTATAAAATTCCTTCAGTGTGCACTTTATATTAAAAAGATACTTCTAAATATTTATGCTCATTTAACTGGTTCTCCTTCAATGAATCAACTTTAAAATATAGTTGATTTAGCAAATATTTCAAAATACTATAGAGAAATATAGGACCCAGAGAAAAGAATTATTTTAAAATAAATAAGACAAGTAAAAAATTGTCTTATATTTATAGGGTGGCTACTAAATGTTATATTAAATATATGTAAATTAACTTTTATGACAAAACAAGTTTATGGAAATTGAATTGTTTTTGCCTAAGATTCTGTAAGGGATGATTAACTTAAGAAATAGATATTATATAGTTCATTATTGTAGTACAGTCGACCCCCCTATAACGTACGTTCCTATAACGACAATTCCTATAACGACAANATTAACTCACATCTAGGCGCGTATGTATCCAGCAAATACATGGTTTTTTTTTATTAAATTTTTTAAAAAAAATAATAGTTGAATTGCAGGCTTTCTAGTATTTCTCAACTGATAACTAATGTGGGAATTGCTTCAGAACACTTCAAACTTATGACCTGTTTTTTTCAAAGAAATTTTACAAAAACCAATACCTTACCACCACATGCAGTAAATTTTCTTGCAGCACAAGAAAATTGTTATATGCAACAATTGCAATTTAATAATGTAGAATATTTAACCTTTACCACAATGCTATACATTTTATCTTTTTCTCCTTGTTTAAATGACAGGATCAATCCCAATTCATTTCAAATAAGTCATTGCAGCTGTTTTGACAACATGATTTTCTCGCTTCAGTATTATTACCCCAGCTGTCACCCGATCAATTGCATGATAAGAAATTTAACACTTTCAATTTTGTAACAATTAAAATTTATGTTCATAATGTAGCAATACCATTTAGTAATTGTGACCCAAACATTTATTTGGTAATTTTATCAATATTTTTTAAATGATTAAAAATAAAATTACAGGATTCATTACTGGCAATACTAGTTGTCAAATCTAAAAGAAAGCATTCCCGAGTACAATAAAACAATTTGTTAGTCATTCCACCTACAACTGACAGAGAAGGGAGTTTATGAAAAAAAAAAAGTAATTGAACATTTAGCATTTTGTTGTCTTTCACAGTGGGGGCCCAGCAGAGTCTATTACTTTAGTGGGGGGGGAAAAAAATATACAAAGTTTTACTACCCTGAAGTTGAAAAATAATACAATCCCATGAAATTTAACAAATCTGACATCAATAAGTAAATGATAAAATTATTTAGAGAGAGTTGATATTTGATAAGTTTAGTTTTTTGCATTTACAGATCAAATTACAGAAAATACAAATAAAAATATAAATTTTAAAAAAATTAAAATCATAAAATTTTGCTTACAAATGATCGAGATGCAATGTATGCTTTTTATTTTTATAATCGCTTTGTTTTATTCACACACAGATATTATTCCTACATAGATTTATTACTTAATAAACATACATTATGTGTAAACTCACATTAAAATAACACTAACATCTGAAATGAAAAAGTAATTGAATTGAATCCCGCCTCCATATTAATTAACATGCCACAGTAATTAATCGATAAGGAATTAATTGATAAATTCCTGATATCTTGAGATCTACAAAGCCTTAATTTTTCATCTCTATTTCTTATAAAGTCAGAAGAGGTAATATGTTTATACTTTCAATTTCATACAACGTTTATAAAATTTATGGATAGTTTAATGCAGTGGTTCCCAAAGTGTGTGCAGCAGCGCCCTAGGGAGCTGCGGTTTTCTCACAGGGGTGCCGCGATATATTATAAAATTTTCATAATTTTACTTCCACTTTCAATTCAATGTGATAAGATGAGAAATCTAGCAGACCTGATGCAAATCATTAACTCGGTAATAAAGGTGGCACATAGAATCACAAAATGTAAAAAGCCCCATACCATCGCAGAAAAACTCATTCTACCGACTGCTGTATATGGTGAACATTATGATTGGCGGGTCTGCTGGGTAGCAGTTTTCAAAAGTGCCTTTGTCCTATAACACCATCAGTCGCAGAATACAACACACAGCAAAGGACCTCCAATGTTCAGTTATTGAAAAAATAGAAGGGAAGGAATTGCTGGATGAGGACACAAATAATAATAATGACACTCACTTGATTTGCTATGTACAGTTTATATTATATAAATATAAATATAAAATAACAACATTGTAGAAAACTTTCTCTTCTGTAAAAGTATCATTGCTGGTGCTAAGGCTCATGACTTGTTTGAGATTCTTGATACTTTTATATTTGAAAATAATTTGGAGTGGACTAAATGCATTGGTATCTTGACTGATGGTGTTTGTTCTATTTCCAGATGTTATGGAGGACTTGCAAGCACTTTTTTGAAGCAAAGATCCCGATGCACTGTGGATTGAGTTACTCACAGAGAAGCACTCGCATCAAAATATCTGAGAATTGCATTGAACCAGAATATGTACTGCATGTAGTAAACTTTATAAAAACTCTGCCATTGAAGGCAAGATTTTCCAAACTACTACTATGTGAGGATGTGGGATCCAAGCACACGTCTTTGTTGTACTACAACACTTTGAGAAAGTACAAAAGATTACCATGAGCATGTGATGGCTCTCTCAAGATAATGTTTTGTCTTGTATGTTTGAACTGCAACAGGAAATTTATATTATTCTTAAAGAGGAAGACCACAAGTATACTGAAATTTTTGTGAATGAAGATTTTTTGGTACAAATTGGAATACTTATGTGATATTTTTGAAAAGCTGAATGCTCTGAATCTCTCTCTGCAGGGAGGCAACATGAACCTTTCAAAGTCAATTGAGAAAATTGCAGCTT